TTCTAACTGCTAAACAGGAAGCCTCAGGTTCTAATCCATATCTATTAATAGAAGACATCTGCGCGACTAAAATTTACGAGTTCATAGCTGCATAAGCTAGACTGCATGTAGACAGATAATATGCCTGAGCTTGCTATTACCTTTGAAGAGTTTACCATTTTATCCTATTGCTTTTGTCGCAATAATTCCCTTTTATATCTATGTATATATATATATATATATGTGGGTGTAATTTTAACTCACTTTTCTGTTTGGATTTTGTACAGACCACCGTGATTGGCGCGTAGGTACTTAGATACATAGCAGTCTCATTTCAGCAAGTTGATACGGGAATCAGGAACCTGTCGTATTCGATTGTCCTCTTCAGGTGCCATATTTTCAAAGTAAAGCTTTTTTCAACATTAAAGACTTCGGTTTTGTCCAGACATCCATACTCACTCTAGCCCAAAAGGCTTACTCCTCGAATTTTTCAGGATCAATATATACATTCCGTTGCTTTCTCATTGTTTAACATGAACTCCACCTGGGATAATTTCAGACACCTTATCCGTATTGCTGACTACAGTGTTCTGGTTTTGGAGAAAATGCGCATTCTTATTTGTTGTAATAGTTGCACCGGGGGCTTGTTCAATCAGACGTCACATATTTATTGGTCGGCTGTCGTTTCCACTGCCCTGCCAAGAAATTCATTTCAAGAGTAAAGGTACCCTCCTCCACGAAAGCAACCTCCTCTCCCGGGAATCGCTGGTCGATCGCAGCGCCTTATGTTCAGAGCACTTAGGGACTTGATAGCAATTTTTAGTCCTATTTTACGTCTCGTACACAAGGACGTGTCCGTATACCTTGCCTAGGTCATAATCGCTGCAGTGATATCAGCGTAGGAAAGTGCACAAAATTCTAGCAGGAAATGTGTTTCTATAGAAACATGGAAACCAATCGTCGCATTGGAATACTACTTTAAGATAACCTATCACTTCACTGGACAATGTGAGAAATGCTAACCGAAGCATGATCTAGAAGTGATTTTAATCTGTTGAAACATTATTCCATTATAACATTTTAAAATATAGCGCATAATGGGAATACTAGATTTCGCAGGTGTTACACAGAGAACAGCCAATAGAAGTGCTCCAGTTAAAGCACATATCCGTCCATCAAGACCTAACTAAAACCCACTCCTATGCTAAGGCTTTTCGAACGTAACTTTTGACTTACCTGTAAGATGGTACTAATAAGTTGAAATAATAATTTTCTTTTAGTTGAGCGACTTTTTTTCTACACAATAGAACCGTACGCACTTATTTGCAGAAATAATCCGCTCGTTAAATGTCTGTTGTTAGAGTTCCGTTACCGATAAGGGCCCTAATGACATTCGTATGAAATCTAAACTAGATAAGCTTAAAAGGAGAAATGTCGGATCATGTAAAATCTCTTCTTATACAACGTACGACAGTCAACAGGTTGATTTATGTTGTTTTTACCGTAATTATCAGCACCTCGTTTTGGACATCGTTTCTTGTAGCTCTTGAAATACGTACGTCTTCATAAGTGAAACGTTTTAGCTTTAATAGAACGTACTCAGCCAGGACTAAACTTCAGTCGTCCAATAAGTAAGTTTCAGGCAACTAACGGCGAGAAGTTTTTTCCGAGAGAGGACTGTTAGCATAATATTAAGATAAGGAAAAACGATTATATTGGGTACGTCGGAGGACAGGGGCATGGCATTTCGCAAAGTTGTAACTCGTTCCTGAAGTGAACGAAGTGACCAGCTCTCAGAAGGACGAGGCACCATGAAGGATTCTCCAATCAGTCAAATGAAAGCGGCTAGTCAATAGCTCGTCACCGCAACGACTGCCATTAAGGCACTGTATGGATAGTCCACTAATTTGAAATAAGTTTTTTTGAAATAGGACGTTGTGGAGAAAATATACAATTTAATCAAATTACACCTGGTTTCATAATACGAATCCAAAGTTCTAAAATAGCCAAATGTTTGTATCTACTCCTAGAAAAAAGGCAAACATTTATTTAACATTGCGTTAAAGTATTAGTGAAGTTACACAGATACAAGAAAACTAGTAAAGCCTTATCGATTCAGCCAGAAACAGGATAACTTTATGGTTTAGAGGGACTGGTAATCCTTAAAAAATCTCTACTTTTATAACACAAACTGCAAATTCATTAGTGCTTGTATTTGCACTGTGTCTGTACCCAATTTCGATAAAAAAAAAAAATACAGGTTATGTGTAGAAGACCATATTTGTAAATGAGAAAGCCAAGTTCAACGTAGGTATTTTAGAACTAACGAATCTTCAAACGTTTAGTCATAGAAGGTTGCCGAAACAAGGTGCCTATGACGATCCATATTGCAAAATAGAGATATAGTCTTGGTTTTTATGTAAAAGGTAGACGTTTAGATGTGACAAAAATTTTTTATAATGCACGTTGCTTGAAAATTAAAAAAAAAAAAAAAGGTAGACGAATTGCTTTATTTGTTGACCTGCGAGCAACGAGCAACATACTCCTCCTCACTGGAACACAGATTATATATGAACGTACTATATAATGTAGAAAAACTCATATATATATTCGTGTCAGACGCCCCGCGTGAAACACTCAAGCTTCAAGGTGGTGAATATGGGTTCTTCAGACAGGTATTATCATAGCAACTTCAAAGTAAAGCTAAGAACGCTTCAGAAGATGTGTTAAAAAAAAGAGCGAACGCAATGGACAACCTTACTCGTCTCGTTTTTTCTAGGAGGAAGGAGAGATTGAAACATCATGCACACCAGGCTTAGTCACATGTAGGATACATATCATTATAATTTAACCATAATAACATACAGAACTTAAACCCATCAAATGCTTGTCCTTGCTGTCTTCTGTTAAACGTTCACTCTTTCTTCATCCGCATTGCATCCCGGCTTTTCTACACTTCGGCGACATTTACAAAAATGAATTAATCAACTGAACGTTTTAAAGCATTTCATTAAATGAAAAAATAAGTAATAGATTGGCAGACAGACTGTCCACTGCAGTGGATTATCAAGTTCATCCAATGATGTCAACTTTACAAAGGTAGCTAACTTGATAATGAACCAAGTAGTATATAAGGTAGCAGCGTAGAAGACGCCTCACAGAGGTGCAAAGCTGATGTTGACCGCACTAATTAATTAGTTAACGTATTGAATTATTAAGGACGATGATGACGACAATGAAATAAGGAATTGTTAGATTTTTGTTGATATAGTGAGTTCATACAACTTAGCTTTACAGCACGAACAGAGCGGAGGAGCGTAGAGGGTAGGAGGGGAATATTAACGCTAGAACTAGTCGTATTGAAAAATATAGTCCGATGTACACAGATGCAATCTTGCAGTTACATAGGGCACTTTAAGGCCTCACCTCTCTTAGACATAAATGCATTGAGAGCTAGTTCTGACGTAAAATCTGTGTATTGACAGTTTATTAAAATGCCCTTAGCATGGAGCCTATTCCATGGCTGTATTCTACGCATATGAATACCTTAAAGCTCGAGCTCTCGTAGGACGGGCTTTTAGAAAAAATATTTTACCCCGCACATGATTACGGACACGGTAGCTCCATTTCGAGGACTAAAGGTAAATAATTTGAAATTTTGGCGAATTACTATACATTGCCACATACAGCTCACGCTGTATACACCCTTGCAGATTTTTGAAACAAGATTGGTGTGCATGTTATCCCGGAATGGGTCCTTAAAGGCCATTTTAGCTTTTGTTTTGTTCACTAGTTTCTACATTTGTCTCTTTTACTTAATAAGATGGAGACCTAAGCAGACGTCGCCTTCGTCTTACTGCTTCCGTTGGGAGGGTTTAATGTCTAGGCTTATTGACTAGACGCCTAATGGAAACTACATAGAAAGACACAAATAAAGTGCCTTTAAATGGGGCTAGAATACTATCTAACCTTTGACCTTGATGCACGTTTAAAAATGGGTTTGCTATTTACTCGTATTACGAGAATACCCAGGTTGGAGCGCATGACAAAAGTCCGGGGTATCTAAGCAGAGGCGGCAAAAGATAAATAATGAAGCTAGCTATGTCGCTTAATGAACTAAATTGATCTGTAGGTCACGATCTATCCGAAGAAGACGTTTGGTTGACAGGGTAAATGCGGAAATGATTTTGCTTATTAGGAGCTCGTGCACTGATGGGTCAAGATGCACGAGCCTGGCAAGAATACCAGCAAAATTTTTAAGATTTACCGGTATTCTCGTCTTAAGGAGCATAGATCGTTACGAAAGACATCAGCTCTGTGACCGCGAATTAAACAGGAAATAATGTCTCGTTTCCATAAACTCTTAGCCAAAGTGGCCGGAAGTAACCAGAAAAAAACCTTCAAGCTAACGACTGAAAAAAAATTAACTCTCTCAATCGCCGCGTCTGTCTTCGTCGAGGATTACTTCAGTCGCGAGGAAGTCAGGGAAAGCACTTCACAAGGGACCATAATAACCAGGTGTGTATCTGTCACATTTGCCAAGCGAGGTCGGAGACGTCGGACGCTGCCGGTGAACGGTTTGACCTTTCCGATAGACAACCAAACTGTTCTAACTTCTGCAGAGAAGTTGACTATCCCAGAACCAGGATCTGAGACTAAGTTTCAGCTTTCATTTGAAGCATATCCAGTCTTTCATTGGGGCGATTCACTATTCTACGTTTCTAAAGTTATCCATTAAGGAAAAACAAGAGGTTAAGGTCAACGAAGCGATACCGTCTGAACTCCGGACACCTTTAAGACAGTACTATGCATGATGGCGGGGTGTCGTAAAGGGGCAGATTTCCAAACAATTTCTCAGCTCGTCATTTGTCCAGTGGTTGTAATAGTATTGTCTTGTGCGTTACATAATAATGTACACCATAGGCAACCGCTGAAGATAAAATACAGAGTAGCCAAGCATCAATTTGAATAGCTTTTTTAATTAAGGCAAAGTCGTAAATGGTCATAAGTGAATAGTTTATTCATCTTTTTCGAGCTATTCCCTACGGTATATAAAATGATTAGAGTGAAATTGTAATGTTTTTTTTTTAAGTATAGCTATTGTTGGGGTCGAGGCATTTTTGTTGGGGAAGATATTCGAGGAGAAATACTATAAGAAGCTATTTCCGGCCTTTTTACTTAGCCTGTATCCATAAAGATGTGTAACTTCCATTGAGACAATCAACTTCATTATTTGATCTGAGTCATATGTTATGCTTTCTATAACGCAGCGTCTACCCGTAGTGCTTCACCATGGTCACAACACCGTTCGAGAGCACGAAGCTAATTCCGCCATAGCTTGATGGCGTATGTCTACGGGTCGACTCATGAATTCTAGAGTAGGTTGGATGGCTACCAACGAAGGCATCTGACCCGGAGCTTGAAGACGATTCGACTGTCCTTGCACCTGGAACCTGAACCTGCCTGCCGGATTTTGACCTGGTGGGAACATTTGCATTTAGACATCAAGCAATTCTATAAAGAGGCCTTTTGATAAACGACACCATTAGCTAATATCGTCCGTTGTTTTGTAAAGAAAAATTCTAATTCTATTCTAAAAATTATATTTAGAACTTGCTTAATAATGATTTAAAAAAGTGGCTTTTGACTTAAGGCTTTTAAACATCACACGCGTCTTGAAGGTGTGAGAGATAATGTATAACGTGGTACCAAAAACCAACAAGGGCTGTATATTTCCATTACTAGGAGTTAGAGAAACGACAAATAAATAAACAGCATACCCTATAATGAATGATCTGCGGTCAGATGATACAAGCGGAAAGGGCGTTCCGCCGACGCCAAAGCGTGGGCTGGGTCTCGTAAATGAGATCTGGCTAGTGAAATCCGGCCCTTCTTGGTTTATATCTTCTAATGATCTACCTCTAAAAGATGAGCTTGTTGGCAATAGGGGCTGATAGCCATAGGATACCCGTTTACGCTGACCTTTAAGCGGCTTCTTGAATCCAGGCTCAGCTTGATATCCGGAAGGTGAATTGAGAAGACTTGCGGGACGTGTGAGAACAGCCTGCGCAAAGGCAGGTCTTAGCGATGGTGCCTGATATAACTGCTGACTATTGGCCACATTTAAATTAGCTAAAAGGTTATTAGGCCTTTGTGGTGACAAGGGCCTCAGACCGCCAAATGGAGATATTTTCTGGCTTAATGCGGTTCGCCCTTGAGCTACAACGGGTGGCCGGAACGCACCTGATGGAAGAAAAGCCGGTCGTAATTTGTTTGGTGATGGTGGCGATCCAATACTAAAGAAGGTAGCTCCGGAGGAGTATGACGTTTCCGGACCGTTCAGTTGTGTATGAGGTAGAGTCGTGCTTGGCAAAAGCCGGTTCGTCCGAACAAATTTTGACCTTTCAGATAGATTACTCTGAATGTTCGACGGCTTAGGTTTATGTTTTATGAAGGTTTTTCGAGCGAACTTAGATGAGCTTATTGGAAACACAGAGCCGACTGCTGGCGATAGCACTGGAACTGGTGAACCTGCAGAGGCAGTTGCAGTAATAGGCCTCGGGTGAGCACGGGGCAACATTGGCTGAGGAGGTGTTCTAAAAGAACTTGATGGCAGAATGCCAAACTTAGTTCGCCCTGGCAAGCCAAAACGAATCGTCGAACCAGTTCCCTGGAAGCTGACGAAATCACCAGCTACGTCTGAATTATTACCTGGAGAAGGTTTAACTGTGAACTTCTGTGGCGCGAAGAATATACCTTTATCGTTAGACTGTCGGCTGACAAATATGTTCGGTAGTGTCGCCCTAAATGGTAGTTGCCTAAGCAGTGATCCTTCAGCAAAATGTTGCAAAGGCCGAATACGAGGAGCAGAAGTCGTTTGCAAAGAAAACAACGCTTTGCTCTTATTTTTCAGAGGGTTCAGTCGTGGACCAAGAAAACCCGCTCTGCTGCTAGAGAGTGTTCCCTCAATAGGCGCTAGAATGCGATTGTTCTGCGGTCCCAAATGGTCGTTACTACTAAGCAGCCGAGGTCGGGGACTCACAGTGAGACTAGTCCGTGCAAGTGTAGACTTAGGCCGTTGAATAGAAGCGTTTATGAGGTCGAATCCACGACTGAATGAAAACGAATTCGGCTTGTAGCTGATTCCTCCTGAAAATCCTATTACATCGTTTTTGTTTTGAATCGCACCTTTATAGTTTCTGCTCTGTAAATGAACTTGGTTGGTATTTACGAAAAACGCACCCAGAAAGTTCATGCCGCCAAAACGGGTTAAACCAGAAGGCTGATACATAACAGCTTTTTTAGGAGTCATCAAGGATGCGCTATAGTAGGGAGTACCACCTAAGAAGTTCATTCCGCCAAAACGAATAAGGGAGGGTCGATACTGTAGAGGCACAATTTTTCCTGGTCCTTCCAGAGCCGAAGTAATATTGGTTGTTTCGCGGTGTTGCATAGTTCTATTTACTAGATAGTTCTCCAGTTCGCTAGCATAGAAGCTATTTGAGTAGGGTGCTCCTAGGAAGCCCATTGCCCCTATCGACGTCAAGTTGAGGTTTCGTATGCCAATAAAGTGCATATCGGAGACAGGTCCTCGGATGTCTTTAAACTGGTATGACTTTAGAGAACTGGTGGTACGGGTCCGGTTGAAGCCAGGTCCACGGTTCGTTGGATGAACCTAGTATTTTTCAGATCAGACGAGACAAATATACCTTACTATCCATTCACATTGACGATCGGATAACGTGTTTAGATATATATATATATATATATATATATTGACATTATTGGTAGTATAGGTTTTAATGCAGCCGTAAGATTTCAGTGTCGCGGAGAGAATAGATCATACAACACTTGTGGAATGTTTTTTCCGTTCTCTGAAACCTGTATGTCGAAGACAATAGATGGTGGTGAGCGGAAGGCGGATTTATCACAGTCGCCAAGATATGACACTATTTGCCCTTTACATTTCGGCCATACAGCCCTGTAAATTACAGATGGCAACGATCATTTTTTTTGCAGCACTCAATAACATATTGTTAGCGTATACGTAAAGTATCTAAACCCTTTCTACCGAAGAAGACTTGAGTTTCAAAAGCGCATACTTAGCTTATACCCTATAAGAAGAAGTATAACGTAACTTTCTGTCAGACCATAATCCGCCTATCTAAATGCGGTTTAGAACCGGAATTCTCGTTTTTGTAATTGCATTCATTTGAATTAAGGTTCTTGAACAAGCAGTTCCTTGAGGAGACACAATGCAAAGCTGTGGGAGGCACGCTGAGTGAGTGAAACTGCACTTTTTCAAGATGTTGATATGCACACTGTACATTTAGGTAGCGTGAAGCTTTAGCTATTTTCGAACCGCAGCGACATTGTTAGACTCTGGTGGCACTGCAACTGTTTCTCACATGTGTCCGTGTCGCACAACTGTCTAACAAAACTACTTTGTTCCAGAAAGGACATAACACAGGGCTCGAAAAGGCTCTGTATTTCGTTCGTTCCTGCGTCGCCGTAGACTTCGTCACGTACTTGAATACTAGAATTCAGTTCTCATGTCGGCTTTCATGAATGGGCGCCCGAATTTCTTTTCTTCAACTTCCGTCTTATTGTGCTCTCTCGTTACTATTACAACTTTCTAAGAAGTTTTTTTTTCTAGCCCTCTCTCGAGAAAATGTCTTATCTTTATACAGTTCTCCGGGGTCATCGAACATGATGCCCCATAGTATCTTTGTACGTTCGACCAAAAGTCGAGGTGGTTTAAGAGATTCTAATTAAGCCCCATTCCTAGGTGCCAAACTGAATTTTTTGACTAGACAACGCACTCCTCTAACGCAAAGTTTCGAGCGCATACTTTTACCAATTAGTACTGTGGTTTTTATCTTTTCAAATGCTAATTTAAGCTAATGTTTGCTCACCCAGGTCGCCATCTTACGTAGGGCTGTGTTTGCTTCGTTTTTCAGTTCCGCCTTTATCCTGATAGTTCATCATTGTTCTCCTATCGTCTACACAGATTACTGCACTTACCCTTTTCGGCGTCAATAGTTTTAACTCTCTATTCTACAGTTTGATCCTATGATGGGGCCCTGTGACGCTCCCGCCTTAGTTCACCTTCAGAACGTCCTTCGTTCTGACCTTTTAGTGATCTGAATAGTTAGCGATAATACGTCGAGGAGACGGAGATATTCCAATCGCCTCCGCTATGTCCGAAATCACCCTCATTCGTCGAGTTGAAGGCGTGCTCTACGTCCAGGTGGATAACAAACCAAGAACCTCTAGTTTAAGGCGTCTTTTGGCCATGTTGCAAGGCTAGTGTGTCTTACCCATTGCACCGAAAGGGCACGATGTCCTCGTGCTGGGACTTTATTATTGTATCGAGCCAAGAAATACCGAATCCCAGCCCATATTAAGGGCTTATTTCGGATAAATCAAGATGTAACTGATAACATTTCTTCTATTATGTACCAAACCGATCGAATCATGTACGAAAAGGTGACGTATGTATTGTATAGTTAAGGAGTTAATAGGACAGTGGAGGGGGTGATTTTTGCACGCGGATACTTTGCTCAGTTGGAAGTGATATTGACAGAACAGAGAATATTTATATTGAACATTGCGCAAAGGCCAATGGCTACATTCTATATACACTTGAGCAAATCCTTTAGTTTACCGCACTGCATATGGCAAAAGCGCAGAAGGGTTCACTAATCTTCAACCGAGCTAGTTACTAAATAAATGGCCACAGGTGCTAAGCTGATCTCAGAGAGCTAAAATGCTTGAATGCTCACTATTTAGATCCAGGCAGCTAAAATTCAACAAACAAGGCTTCAAGTGTGTGGCTTAAATCAGATGTGTCTAAAACTTATTATCCTCTAGATAGCGCGTTTATATGTGGGCTTACCATGCGGTGAATCCTTGCTTGTCCTTCACGATCTGGGCGCATCTAATGGAGGCTGTTATATCGTCGCGACGAAGAGCTAAGGTATTTTAATTCAAAGTATAACTAATTAAGATCCAATTTGAATAATTCTGTGTACCCGGCAACTTCTTATTTAACCTTCTCGATTGTATATTTTACGTATAGGTAATTTTACGATTCGTTGGTAGTAAAGCTAGCTGAATTGACATGAACGCAGTTACAACTTCTGGCCCTAGACAAGTTATTACGTAAACGTCCAATTAAAACGACTACAAAAGTCGACTCAAAAATACCGAAAATATTAGCGGTCTACTGTTGAAGTAGGATTCCAGGCTCCTTGCTGCCCGGAAAAGTTATTAAAGGTCGTGCATCGTTCGTCCCCTTTGATCAATGATTTAGTCCTTATGAGAGGTCGTATATTTGAGGGAAATTAATATTTGACGATACGACAAAAGCCATACTGCAGCGACTGGTTCTCCGGCTACGTTAAACTCATTGTGGTCACTTACCATCACATTCTACTTTGCAAGTATTTGTCCCTGTTCGACTGCCGCACCAATATCTGTCATTAATCTACAAAGTTGGCAAGAGAAGCGAAGAACGAAGATATGAGTTTTGCTAATATTAATAACTTCAACGAATAAAGAAAATATCTACTAATTAAATATGCCGGTATCTATATCTGTCAGGCTGAGCATATCTTTTAGATTTATACTTGGAAGTAACGATATAAGCTCTTTGAGGATGAGTTTCTTTTATTCCAAAGCCAGATGAACAAATCAACGACAGATCATTACCAAAACATAAATCAATAATTAATTAAACCTAATACCGCATTCGCATAGGCTTAACTTCAACTTGAAAATTGTTCATTCTGTGCACAGTGATAGTTGTTAAAACATTTGTTGTTTGTTGTTTGTAAAACAAACTTGTTATTGTGTGTATATTTATATAGCAATTCTTACTTGGAAAATTCCGTGATCAGATGAACCATCCAAGTTGGATAGATTGATGGCATCTGTTTTGAACCCGCTTTCGTATTGCGCGATACATGTCCCTGAAATGTCCTCTGTTTGATGTGTCTGATCCTTGCATGGCGTACAGTCTGCCATAGAAGGCACACATATTGACTCCACCTCGATTGACTAGTATATATATTAGTCAGTCGAGACGGAGAGATTAAAAGACTGTTTTTTTTTCCCTACACTGCTTAACGCAAGTCCTTTTTTTTTCATAGGTACAAGGAAGGAAACAGAACGAGAAACTTTGTCTAGCTTGAACTGAATAAGAGAAAAAAAGAACCATTGACTGTTACCAAAATACTGAGAAACGCTACCGTATTATGTCGAGTCTCTCATAGTAAAGAAGTTTCCACTTACATGCTGCCACCTCCTCTTCGGGGAAGTATTTCCTAATTTCTCGAGCAAATTCACATTTACTGAATTCGCGGGCATCGACTTTAATCACCGACAAAATCACCAGAGGAATTATTACAAATGCCACTATCTTTGTGACCTTACCACGTTGTTGTGTCATTCCTGAACTTCACGATGGCCAATTAAGGTATAAGTTTATCTTCTTACGTGGCTAGGAAACATTAGCGCAATTGAAGACAATTAGTAACCTGATGATCCATGATATCAGTAATTTAGATTTGTGCATTACACAATATTTAAGATTATATTATTAATCGAGATACAATATCTAATTAAAGTTGAAAAAAAGAACTAATTAAATGACTAATAATTAAGGTTGTTCAGCCGTAGTTCGAACCAGCGATAATACGCAAATTAACAAATATAGAGCAAAATAACCTATCTTTCCTATCGTATAGAACTCTGGTCAGGTCCCGTATGTACCATTCCATTGTCTAAAAAGTAAAGCTACGAAAGGACCACTTAATAATAATCAGTTAATTTCACGCATACGTTTATATACGAAGTTTTTACTCCTTTAAGTTTAACTTACCAGGTGCTTCTTACCCGATAAGACATTATGTGTAAGACTGTTGCATTCATTCGAGTTAGTTCCAAAATCTAAAAGCATGGAGTAATTCGAATGGAGGTCTGCTTATTGTTTAGCCAAACATCTATGATGATACTCAACAGAGATCTCGGACGTCTAACCGCCATTTACCGCAAGGTCTAAAAGACGTCTAAAAGGCTCGATCCTGCTGGTTTTCGTGGAAAACGTGTGTGCACTTTTGATTTTTTTTCACTACTTTTTATTTATTTTCTCTTCCTTCCGACTTGGATTCTAATCTACCCTTGGGCTGTAAGCTAACAACATGTCGATGCACTGAGAGAAATAGGATTTTTAAAATATAGTGCGTAAAATGCTACAGTTGTTTTCTCTGGAGAAAAGCTCTGAAAGTATTGTGGTAGCATGTTACCTTTTCGATTCGAAGAGTCACTATATTCCGGAACTACGTTTTGAGGGTATTTACACGGTGATTTTTCAAAATTTGCTTACAAGCTATTATATGACCGTGCTTTCATTAGAGCGCTCAAATCATTACTATCCATATCGTAGCCACTTAGATGGAAAATAGCACATTAAATATGGCCTCGCCTTTTTTGTGTGCAAGGTCCCTAAGTCAAATGACGTCGTACCATTATGTGTACACGACTTACGCATCCTTCTACGATTGAATGAACGCAATAATAATAATAATAACGCAATAGTGCTAAAAACTGGAAGGATAAATAAAATCCTGCGTAATCCGTTTTTTTATAGTTCTTAGACAAACTTTGAACGGGCAGCATTGGGTAGCATAACTTACTTTTACAAACCTTTCAGAGGTCACAATGTTTGCTAGCACAAGATGGTGATCTCCACCTCTGTTTGATTACATTTAACCAGTGCAGAGACCACTCGTTGCGTTTAAGGCTGTTTCAACAAACGTCGCACATCGCTGTCAGGCTTCCGATGTACCCCAGCTAACGTCATTCATGGTTAGAAGCCATTACGATAAAAACCGTGTCTTCTTTTTGTTCTTTCAACAGCATCAAACCAATTATCACATCACTCCGGCCGACATGACACTGTGATTCCTTTCCGTCGAACAGTCGTCAGTTGAAGTATAGCGCATCAAATATGCAGCAGGCAAAGCGCGGGGCTCGAAGGCCAAATAGATCAGGATTACTCTTTCCTAAAGTCTGCTCTGTTTTCTGCAACACCACTGAATGCTGCATATGAAATCCATTGCGTTACACTTGGTATATATTGAATTTGCCTATAACGCCACAATTATGCTCCTGTTTATTTTCAATTCCTGCATTATCATAGGCCACTGTAATTTACGATTAGTATTAAGCGTCCTCCTGTACAGTTAGGCAAGGAGACATTACCCACGACGTCAATACGCCGCTACCGGCTGCAGAATCGCTCTTCGTTCATATGTCACCTGTTAAGCTTCATCGCGTCAATGATGCCGCTGACAGTTTAACAGATCCGTGAACTATTTCTACGGAAAGTAAGTATAGATACAAATATCTGGTATTGGAATAGTAACGATCATTGTTACCGTGTCTGGTATTGATGCCGGTTTAGCGATTAAGTTATCTAGGTGCGTTCTGCTTATGCGTGTTGCTAACGTCTTATAAAGGTATTTACAAGGGAATTAGGGGAAAAGCCGACAGATAGTCTTGCGTTATATCACATAAACAGTAATAATAGTAAGGTAACCATTAGCGAAGTACATTTCCAATGTACGGCGCACGTAACCAGCGCCGCTTTCGCTCGATGGGGCACAATAGCGCGTACCGCCAATCGTTATTAGTGAAGAGTCTGCGTTGTCGAACGCATATTTAGTGAAAACCTTCACTACGGATTTCAAATAAGGCACCGTTATTGTTGAATGGATCGTCGAAGCGTGTGTATTCATATAATCTTAAATAATATACAGGAATAATAAATAAATACTTACACTAGCGTTCCACTGATCTATTTGACTCACTGTGTGCGAGGTAGAAATTTGGTTGCAATGAAACAGATTGCGAACAACGGACGTTGCTCAAAAAAGGACGCGCTAGTGGAACAACCCTCGTGCAACATTCGTAGCATAATATACAGCCTGAAAAAACAGGACAAACGAAAGCACAGTGTGCAAGTTGTGACGCTCCAGCTCGATGCCAACCGGCGAACCTATTTAAATCAATTTAACCTATCTATACTATATCGACCGCGATTGAATGTAGAGAGTGGTCCAACAATAGGAGGATTAACTGTTTTTCAGAGAGCTCCAAATGGACAGAACAAGAATTCTGATGGACTCTCACCTGGAGGGAAGCATCTTGGGAAATGCAATGTACTGCCTACTAATTGTAGTAACGCGCAGCGCGCTCTCAATGGCACGAGCACGTCATTGAGTATAATTCACTCGTTTTCTATAGGTCCAACTTAAACGTACAACTGAGAGTTCAGTGACCGCCACAGGTGGCGCAACAGGCAAATGTGAACTAAGAATAAGCAGACACAGTCAATAAACGGTCAGAGACGATAAGCAGATACCCTCAGGCTGTATTTAGGCTCTGCGTTTAATATATATATATATATATAGAGCAGCGTAACGAATATTTAATATTAAGGCTCAACTGTGCAACGCATGAGATAGTTTGATGAGAAAGACAAGATAGAAAGTCCTAGAGAACTGGCATCAGAAAATTTGATTGTCAACCTGAGGGATATTCTCGTGAAACGCAAATCGGAATAGACATAGAGGTACCCCTTGGAACATTTATGTATGTATTTTTAGCTAACTGACTCACTAGCAGAAACTCAAAAAACTAACAAGTAAATAAGGTCAGTTGTTCGACGAAATAGTCACAACATTTAATGGAAGTGTTGATATACAACTTATAGGTAAGACAGTTTGGGTGACCAACGTCAACAGACGTCACTCGAAAGGTTGCATTTTACCGACCTAATAATTAAAACGCGCGGTAGTTTATTAAAATTGCTTTTTTTTTATTGTGTATCGTTCAGGTTTGGGTAAGGTGATGCAGGTCATAGTCAGGCAGGCGTCTGGTCGAAATACACTGAGGTCTCCATGCAATTTATCTAAAGATGAATCAAGATTTACATTAACGTTATTATGGGAACTTAGGCAGATTTCTGTAAGAGGTAGAATGTACCTGCTATTGATATGAAAAAACTACATTTCCTAAAATTGATGATTCCAAAATGACAAGTTGTCTTCTGCTTATTCAGAGCAAAGTAAATGCGTCCTGATCGTTTATTATCGCATAAATAAGTAACAAAACCTGCCTGGTCGATTTTCTAAGCTGCAGTGTTTTGTAAATATTCGAGACTGTGCACGCAAAAGACCTGTTGAACCTATTTCTGTTACCAGTAAACACCGTTAGTAACCAGTTATTACATCTTCTGCTACCATGCCCGCTAACTTGATGAGATGAAAAAAGACGCTGTGGCTAGCTGATGACACTTGTCAGTATCCAGATGGTGTTTCAGGAACGGCCGCGGTAGCAGGAATCACATCACCACATGATCAGTCACTTACCTTGTTCAAAGCTCCTTGACATCTAGTTCATCAGAAAATAAGCTATTTTTCAGGTTAGCGAGGCGTTACTTTGTTGATTATTGAAAATTTTATGTATAAACTAAGCTTGTTTATCTTGTTTAGTACCTGGTGCTCTTCGACTAGGGACATGGCGCTGTTTGTGAGCTATGAATACCTGAACTATTAAAAAATCCTTCTCACATGGAGATTCCATTATCATTACAAAAATTATCTATTATTGTGTGTATATACACATATTGTTTGTCTTAATTGGCTTGTTAGTAACATTAAGAAGGATAGCACTAACACTAGCTGAGGATTATGGTTACTTCGAAATTAAGTAGGGTAGTATTATGCTGTTTCGGGGTACCACAATGGGAGGTTTTTCATTCTATTCGAGCTCGATACTAAGCTGAGATAGATTGAGGCATCTTTAAATGGACGAGAATGCTCTTAGCTCTTTCTTAACAGAACGACTATTTCCAGCAGAAGCAGATTCCAACTTTAGTTTTTTAAGGGGATTTGAGTATTGCCTTAACGTGCGGGCACCACTACGACAAAGCCTATTCGATGTAAGTCGAGTACGAAGCTCAATTCCGATAGTTTGGGCTAATTTTCTCTGGGACCAGTAATTCTCAGTTTCTCTCTGAAACGTCAGGCCAAACCAAGCCGGCTTTTTATTTAATAAAACTATCGGCTGATAGGAGCGAGTAACAGATACTTACCCGGTCAACTGCCAGGGAGGCAATTCGTGGATTTGCCCGCCCTCCTTTTGCGTGTTTATTTCTGTATAGTAGTCTCTTGCGGATCCGAATTCTTTTGTCAGTTGTTCATGTTGGCACGCTCGATTTTTCTAACGAACCTTAATCTTGCCAATCGATTTTCTATTATAAAAGGTTCTTTTGTCGAGTTGGTTCCTATTTGCTCGTCTTCGGGTGACTCACAAGTGAGTTGTATGAATTCTTCGGGGCCCCGGTTCAATGCACTTGCATACCTGCACTGGTTCGAGCGCTTCGTATCCTATAGGTAAGTAAGAGGCTCGATCCCCAAACCCCCCCCCCCCCCCAAGCTATCTTTAATATTCCATAACATTTTCTCCTTAAGTTTTCCATCACGCTTGTTTCAGTATACTCATTGAACTGTGCAAGCCGCTCAGTTGCCTTACTACATTAATGGGTTAATGTAGCAAGGTAACGATTCTATCCATGCCATTACAGTTCTTCAGCAGACCGTCTGCCTTACTCCGACTGCCGTCTAGATACTTGTTTTCGTAATCTAGTGACTCCGCAATAGGTGTCCCGTCCTCCTGAAATATGGAACACAGTTAAGCAGTCACTACGCTACAGTTGAGCTGCAACTTATGGCTCCTATTGCGCTGTCTCAAAACGTACGTGGCATTATTTTATAAATTTTCGGTAGATATTACACCTCTTAAGCAATCAAGCCAATAAGAGTTATTTCCTAACGCCATTTACTGCGATACCACGCTCCACTCCACGGTAGAAGATGCAAAGCATCAATTTCCGGCCTGAACTAAACAACTTTTATATTAATTAGATCGTTTCCTGAACCTGTTTTCAATCAACAGACAAAACTGCTATAATAGACCATTTTTTTTTCTCGCTGGGGGTGTCGTTTGTACTATTATATTAAGTATACAAACCGCTTTTTCCAATTTTCCGCGATACTCACCCTTCAAAAATCGGGTTAGGTCTAGAAGCTTCAACCGCTACATGGCCTATTGTCAGCCTTGGACCGACGGCCTGGTCCTTCACAATGTATACGGTCTAGAAGTAGATGTTAAATAACTCAAGCTTTTGTTGCTCACACTACGTTTCGAGTTGTGTAAAAGAGATAGCAGCATAACGACCGCTGTTCGCAAGAGACTAGAATTTTCCCAGCGTCTTCTCCCTTAAAGGTAGTTGTTACAATCTACGTCCTCGTTGCGGTTCCAGTTTATTGAGCATCATGTATTAGCAAGAGATTGCCTTATCAAGCAACATATATGATATTGGTTCTGTTTAAATTTGCATTGATCCGTGAAAAAAGTAAGAGCGGAACGTGTGAAAAGCTTCAAATAAGCTCGAGAGGATGCTTAGTGATTTTTGTCGGGTGACATTAAAAATATCTAGACAGTTAACTAGTACTTTATTGTTAAATTCAAGCCAAACTCCAGGGCTTGTGTGAGAATACTCTTTGAAAAAATTGTCTTCTTCCTTCCGAAGTATGCAATTTTAAACATTGCAAATTATGAAGGAACATAGGCAAACGGTTCACAATTTTATTAGACCACAAGTAGGTGCAAACTTAATACTCTTCACGATGCAATTCTAATAAAATGCTGATTGAAGCAACCGTTAAAATGCTGTTGCGGAAGATAATCTAGCCCGACAGACTTAGCTCAACGATTACACATGTTGGAATCTTAGCGTGTATCTATAGGTCATTGCATTGAGCACAAATATCGGAGGCTTTGCCGACTGCCAGCTCACAAAG